GGCTGGAGTTAAACCACAACACTAATTTAGGACAAGAAGGTGTGGTCACAACATTTCTAAAGAAAAATAACTTTGATCAAGTAGCGAAGTTAAAATGTAGAAATACAGTGTCCAGCTAAATCTGTATGTATTTTCTAAGAAAGAATTATAAAGGTAGTGCTTGAACATAATGGCTACATGATTATTATGAAAGCCCATTTACCATAATTGCGAATTTAATTCAAGGCATTCATTTCACTAATAAAAAACATATTAGAAGTCTTTTTTTATTTGCATCCCCATCCATACAAATCTAAATTAATGCATTTGCAGAAGGCACATTACTGCAATATAACAGAAGAAACATTTCAACACAAATGCAATAGACAGAGTCATCCTTTTATCTGACACTATCTTTTATCTTCCTCCAAGTTTTTCAAGGGAGTCTACTCCAATCAGAACTGATTAATAAGCCAAAGGCAAAAGACTGATTTATATTTCTGAATAAAAATGAATCATATAATGCAAGCCTTCCCTAGGAAGACAACAATGGAGAATAAAAATACTAGACATCCAGTCTATTATTCCAAAGGAGGATGAGCAGCCACTTCTAAAACCAAAGAAGTCTTAGCAGGGAAGTTGAATTGCTTGCCTCTTCAAATTATGTGTATACCAAAGTAAAAAAATTATACACTTCATAGGAAGGTTAAAATCCCTTGCTGCTTAACAGCCACACCCAATTCCAACACCATCTAGCAAGAAAAATCTGAAGAATGATAGTACAAAGGAAGGCAGTGATTCTTGTGATGTGAGCAGCAGACAACCAAAGGAGTACTGTCAAAATTTCATGGTAAGGTACAGACGTGATGCCTCATATAAGCCCATTATAAATGCTAGCACTTGTCTGTTCTCCTGACTAGCTCTCTTTTACTGCAGTCCTAAACAGAAATGCCAAAAGATCTATTTATTCATTTAGCCCAATGCCCAGCTAGTGAGACCTTATTCCACAAAATACATATTCCTTCAGACTTCTGAAAGTAAAACAGTGCACAGAGATTGAAACGTATGCACTGGGGCAGGGATTTACAGCTATAACTTCCTTCTGCTCTCACAACGCAAACAAAAACAAGCTCAAAAAACTCTTGCAGAATAGTATTTTCTAAACAGAAAATAAAATTGCAATCAAAGCTGCTTTAGAGAACGAGAATTAATGATCACTGGTTTATATCATTTACAAATAAATCACACAGAAGCTGAAATCTGCAAAATGTCACCTTACCTTATACAACTGTAGTGTTTGAAAGTGCTGGCAGCTTTCTGGCATTCCAAGCACAGCTGAATAGCTCCTGGGTAGTCCTCTTCCTTAGGATAAAATATAGTGGAAAGCTAATTCGGCTTTTGAAGCAAACACCCATTTTTGTCACCGATTGTTCGCAGCATCTGAAAACACTATGTATTACATCACCTTATGCAAATTATTTCCTGTTTTATTTACTTTTGCATCCATACAAAACATATCAGAGCTTTTTTATTACAAAACAGCTAACATTTTTCAGGTTAACTTTCAAACCTTTGTTAATACAACATGCTCTATTCATGAGCAAGGGAAGAGGCAAGCTCAGGCACTGGCAGACTGTTGCCATAGTTTGCAAAACCTACACAGAGACAAGGGAGAGACTCCAACCAATATTACACCCAAATAAACATTATTTAATTTAACACGTTGTCTACCTAATTAGAAATAAAGACAACTGGCTCTCACAAAGCTATGGGACAAAAAGAACATACTTCAGAAAAATGGAAATATCATAATTTATAAGACGACTATCCGATAGGTAAACAGATCAATCAGGAAGTACATGGAGATGCCAGAACAAAATGAAAACAAAAAACATACACACAAAAAAATGTACAAATCCCAGGATCTTGCCAACAGAAGATGGGCAGTGCCTTAGGTATAACTACTATTTTTGTATTCTATTAGATACGAGGCCAGAAAGGCTCCTGGAGGAAGGAAAACCCTCTTTAATAACCAAGAGCTTCCTTTTTTCATCCTAATTACATCCGTTGTATTATGTGCTTGAGACAGCTCAAATACAAAGCTGTTAGTGGAATTTCAAAGTCATTGATTGAAGAGTAAAAACTCAAGGGCAATTTATATTTGGCTATTATCATAAAGGAGTTTCTGAAATGAGATTGGTTTTAACAGAAGCATTCTAATGCAGATCAAGTTTAGCTAAAAACATAAAAAACCCCACACATATTATCCATTAGGTGAAAACAGAACAGTACATTGGTCTGAAATGATTGCTGCACTTACAGCTCTTTGCATCTTTCTCCATTGGAAACCAGGTACTTGCTCCATTAAAGTCTCACAGAGCTCTGATCAGAAAGCCTGCTTGCACAACATGTATTGCTAATATATTCCACATGCAGCTCACGCCACCAGTTATTATAGCTTCATGTCTGGCCTTTATTTTTATTGGGAAGCCTATCTAAACGTTCCTCTGTGAATGACTAATAATAGCTCTTATGAATATACCAAGCTACTAACTTTTTAGAGTAAAGACAATAAATTTGCCAAAATCTGCAATACCTGACTGGGAGCAGACACTAAGCAGAGCTTTAAAATTCCACTTAGTCAGAACGGGCAGTTCCAGCCCCTAACATTTAAAAATCACTGGTAAATCATCATAACCAGACATCAGGATCTGTGTGTGAACGCAACACCCACACCTCTGTCTCAGGACAACTCCTACCAATATACAGTGAAGAGCTGATTTCCTGTGCAACAAAATACAGCACAGACACAGAAAGCTAATCACTGTACAGGGCTTCATGAGCAGAACACAGTGTTTATGCAGCCTGTAATTTAATATATTCTTTCTCGGTAAAGAACAAGAAAATGTGCTGAGTCAAGGTGTATTACCCAAGATGGAACTAAACTCAAAGTATGTTGAGTTACAATTAGTAAGCCTCAATTTCTAAATTTAGTAACTAGGGATTACCACAATGATGTTCCATCCTGTATTAGCTGTAAATACTTGGCAAACCAGCAAGTCAAAATTGTTACATTACACGAATAAAATATAGTTGTGAATAAAATCCCAAAGCTGTCTTTCAAGCAATTTAATCACCTTAAGATCTTAGCTGTGCCCTGTGTGGTATCTAGTGCATTTTTAGGCAGTACATACACATTGTATCAGTAGAATTTTCCATGTCATGGCCTGCACGCTGCAGTGTTTTCTACAACTATTAAAAAGCTAATGCAATGAATAAGGAGAGAAGCTACTACACTTACAAATAAAATACTAAGTAGGGTCTCCATATTTAAGTTTGTACAGTAATATACCAGTAGAAGTACTGTTATCCATCCCAGCATATTAACAATCAGTTAAATCTCACCATCTTATTTGTTCCAAGCTAAGGCCAAAAAAGAAGTATAAGCGGAGGGTAAGGAGGGCCGTGAAGACTCAACAGAACTCTTACTGAACTAACTCAAGCCACAGTGTCCAGATCTGAAGACAGGATTGAGACTTTGACATAAAATACTTCCCCCTGGCACAGGGACTATCTAATTTGATCTGAACTATTGCAGACCACATTAGACAAAAAGAATAAAAACATAATTTCACCACATGCACACACCCATGGCCTGTTTGCAAGAGAAAGGAAAGAAGGGTCAGAATTAAGATGGCAGACAAAAACAGAATAGCTCCAAATTATAGTAGTCTGGCAGGGACTTACCTCCAACATCTCACTCAAACGCACATCAGTTCTTTGCTAGAAACAATTAAAAAAAAAAATCAATAACTACACAGTAATGAAGAAAAACATCTTGTCATTGAACAAAACCAGCTATACATACCAGTGTTTTTATGGTTCTCAGAGACTTTAGCAGTCCAATAAGCAACTGTCGTTTCCTCTGATTTGCAAGCAGCCCCAAACTAGTTTGTGTGAAACCTTCCTTTGCTACATTCAGGTGCCTGCAAGTTAAAAATGAACATAATCTTCAACGATATGTAAAATAAAACTTATTTCCAATGAAATCTAACATGTCCATCAAAATACATGCTAGAAAATAAGATTGTAAGCATTGTTAGGGAAACCCAGAAATTGAGATGACACCAACAGACTCCTAAGAAGGTACAGTCTTCCCTTCTGCAGAACTTGTCTGTTGATCAGTGTGTCAAAAAAGATTCCTGTTTTAAAGAGAACTCACAGCTTAAAAAAGTGATAGCTGCAAGACAGAAATCAGCTGGTATTTCTTTCAGTATGTTTAACTACTATTGTTAATTCCATTCAGCACATAAATAGGAAAAATCATCAGCAAGCAAACTTCCTGGGTTTACAGATTTCTTCTTAAATACATTTTCCCCCTTTCAATCCCTGTCATTATTTAAGCAAGATACCTTCTTCCATTTGTGCAGATAACAGCTGCTAACTGAAGGCCAGTCTGCAATGATGTAACACGTTCAAGTTCCTACAGAGAGACAACAGGTTAAATAAATATGCAAGTTGAAGTAGTGCTACACACCACTGAAGACTAGTAATTAGTAGGTTTCTCTTGAGATGTTATAATGACTTTATAGAATTACTTTTTATATTATTTGTTTCATCATTTTATATACGCTAATTACTGGAATGTAACATTAATATAAACTACCTTTTAAAATACATTTCTCTTGAAGAAAGATACTTAAAATCCATTTTTATTGCAGCGGGACCCTCTACATTTATGTACTGTACGTTTAGCCTAAGAACCTCTGTACCGTTAATGCACCACATGAGAAAGATCAAAGCTTCAGGGACAGAAGCTCAGGGTTTAATTTGCATTAATATGCCAGAGAGTAGCAAAACACACACACAAAAAAAAAAAGTGTTTCACACAGCATTTTCTTGTTTAGAAGCACTTGTATTCTATCAATTTAATAGATGTCACTTCATAATGAATGTTAATTGTATCCTGTTGAATTTCAGCTGAAAACTCTTCAGCACAGGTGACCTGAATTTAGCTTGATTTTGACTTTGTGAAGTGCCTAGCATAATCTCACCTCCTTTAAAAAAATCAAATTTTTTAATATACCTATTAGAATTTCTTTTGTTAGGAGCAGCACTGCAGAAAAATGAATGTTCTCCCCATGCTAAAGAAAAGAAAAATTTTATTTTTCTAAATACTGGTCATCATTCAAAACATATCAAGTGCTTTTCATGGGGAGAAGGGAGACTTTCACTTTGAAAATTAACCTAACTCTAAGGATACGATAAGCAAAAACAAGTTTAAAGTTTAGATCAGTTTACAACTGGCTCCTGGTCAGTCTCCAAAGATATAAGTAATTCTGACAAAGCACCGAGCTGCATCATTCACCAAAGCCAGTTCCTCTTTTATGTTAACAACGTTGCTTTTGGGAAAATGACACCTTACTTGCTGATATGCATAATACCGTAATAAACCATATGCAAAGATCACTTTCCCCAGTACTTACTTCTCACTGAAAACATACTTTGCAAATGTCAAAGCTATTCAAAAGGCCACTATTCCCTTTTTCATGAGGAAACAGGTACAGTAAGGACTCCATTCCTTTCTCACCTCTTGCAAAGATTCTGTAAGATCTCTCATTTGACCGTAACTGGATGGAGAGGCACGAGGAGAGTGCAGCCTTACGGTCCCTAGAGAGGGAGTCTGTAATTCAGCATTTTGGGCTGAATACATTTTTTTCTCTTCTCAATCTTCCACCCATTAGTCGTTCCTAACACACACCTTTCCTTCTAAGAAAGGAAAACGAAATCCGTCGCCTTGTGTCTGTGCTGTGCCTCTCCCGGCCCGCAGTAGTGCCTGTTAGACCAGTACTTCACACTAGGAATGGGAAGCAAATCATAACTTCTCCATACTTTCCTTGGCACAGTGGAAACATTGCGTGCAGGAAACAGAACCAACTGTGGTTCTGCTTCTTCTAATGACCTATTACTGTAATTGGGCACCGAACTGGAGCTGCCATTACAAAGTACCCACAGCACATCAGGAGGTTCATTTCATGAGTCCGTAGGAAGGTAAGCCTCGTGTCCACCAGAAATCTCTGACAAGTGCATCTACTGACAAGAATAACTGTGCAAGCCTGTGTCCATCGACTTAATCAGGCAAATATGCATTTGAGACGTTTTCAAAAAATTCTTAGTGGCACAATGGATTTTTAACTGTCCCTTTGGAACATCTGAAAGAACTTGGTATAAAACACATGCACCTCACTAAGACATTGCTGGGATAAGGATATTAACATTACCCAGCAAAACACAAGAAGCACATTCTCCACAGTAGAGGAGATTTTCAAAGTGAAGCTGCTGGACTCAGAAAAAGCAGCACTTGCTCAGCAACACCAACTGCAACTCTACCAGAAGGATTTGATACAGTAAATTACCCTTTCTGCTCCTCTCCACACTATCTCATGATTCAACCACTGCAGCACTTACCCAGCCTCCTTCTGCAATAGCCTCCCAGATGACTCCCTTAACTAAAACTGAAATAGTACCCTTACAGCTTTTATCTTCCACCAGCTGTTGCAGGAGATGACACAAGCAATAATCACCTCCCCATTTTTCTTTAAAGAGTAGCAAAAAAGCCAGAGCACAGATGGGACACGCATAAGGTCACTAGGGCTGGATGTGTGGGCCACAAGTGCAAGTGAGCAGAAGGGGAAGTTGTGCCCTCTAGATAAAAGAGGAAAATAATTCCAACTCCAGTGACATCTACCATGGGTTAATCCCCAGGAGCTACAAGCCCTAGCCTACAGCAACATGTGCCAGCTGAGAAGCAGGAGGCAAAGAAAGGAGGGATGTAGTAGGAAGAAGGTTAACAGGAAAGGAGAGGAGAGGAGAAAGGAAAGGGATGGGGAAGTGGGAGAAAAAAGGGAAAGACCTCCACCTGAAAATGCAGCCATCCTTGCCCTCCCACACTTTCCTCCAGCTTCTCGACCAAAATGAGAATCACCCTAACCACTGGTATGACAATGCTTATGCAAGGTGCTGTACACACACAGAATTATCCACCATGGGATTAATTCTCAGACTACTTAGATAACAATCCTAAGTTTTCACTTTGCAGAATTCTCACTGTCATTTCCTGGAAACTTCAGATAAAAATCAGGCAAAGCTGATCAAATGTATAGGAGCATTATTAAAAATAAATGGGTAGAAAAAACCCACCTTCTCTTTAGAGAATCATTAAAACAGTGGTTCCAATTATGTTTTGGGAGCAAGGAGAGAAGCTGTGCCAACATTCTACTGCAAGCAGCTAAAGCAGTTTTGCTTAGTTTTGCTCTTAGAGAACTCGGACATGTTGAGGCTCTATTTCCAGCTCAGTCTTCTCTTAGATGCATTCTTTTCACAGCTGCCTGAGATTGGTGGCAGGTTTCTGGTTAAGCGCTCAAGAAAGGTCAATGCTGTTTTCTCTTATGGAAAAACACCTGAAGCAATTCCTAAGCACAGGCACTAAAGAAGGTGCTGTTCAAGTCCAGGTATTAGCCAAGCCTCTGAACTTATGTTTTCAGATAGCCTCCTTAAAATGGTCATATGCCCAAGCCTTTATTATCCTAAGGGCCTCCAGATCCATACACCCTTGGGTCTTTTCACTCTACAGATGCAGGTTTAGCATACACAAACAGCTAGTTCCAACCAGGCACTAGCATCTCTACTAGCAAGTTACTAGATTTAATGCCCAGTGAAACAAGTACAGCATTGTAACAGCACAAAATTGAGTGGTCTACTGTTAAAAAGTGACTGTCTTACCTGAACATACGCAGGCTGTTTTTCAAGAATCAAGTCTGCAACTTTCTTAGATACCTTAAAAAGAAGAATAATACATGTGATATACAGCCATCTCAATTAAGTAGGCCATCCTTATACTAAAGTTCTAGAAGTTTGTAATTCTGTTTCACTTAGTTCTGTAATTTATAAA